GCGCTGACACGTGCGGCTCAGACTCCCTCTCCCAGCGCAGCAGCCGCTCCACTTCTCCCGCCTCCCAGGCTTGCAGCGCCAATCAGCTGTTTGGCGCCGCAAGCCTGGGAGGGGAGGAGATTTAGAGCGGGGGCAGCATGCTCGGGGAGGAGGCAGAGCAGAGGTGAGCTGGGGTGGGGAGCTGCCGCACGGCTCCCCGGGGGGGGACGCGCCTCAGGGCAGAGGGGGAGGGAGCTGCTGCGGGGGGGGGCACCTCCGGGGGGGGGGGGGGCGGGGGGCCGGCACAGGGCGGGGGGGGGGGGCGAGCAAGGTGGAAGTTTTGCCTAGGGCGCGAAACTTCCTTGCACCAGCCCTGATCTTGCTGCTGTGATTTTCGACAGTAACAACAAAGGGGTGTTCCTCCACAAGGCAAAGGATACAAAAGGCCCTGGAATCCCCTCCATTTTGTCTTCAATCCTGCTTCTGACCTCTGGAGAAACTTTGCTAAAAACTGAAGCTCTGAACAAAGGACTGAGGACCCATCCAAATCTGTAGATGTACTCCAGAGATTTGATTTGAGCCTGCAGTTTATTCCACCACTGCTATATGCCTGAACCAAGAAGTCTGCAATGGTTGTATGTATTTGATTCCATTTAACCAATTTTAACTCTCATCTATATTTCTTTCTTTCTATGAATAAACCTTTAGATTCTAAAGGATTAGCAACAGCATGATTTGTGGGTAAGATCTGACTTGTATATTGACCTGGGTCTGGGGCTTGGTCCTTTGGGATCGGGAGAACTTTTTTTCTTTTACTGGGGTATTGGTTTTCATAATCATTCATCCCCATAATGAGTGGCATTGGTGGTGATACTGGGAAACTGGAGTATCTGAGGGAATTGCTTGTATGACTTCTGGTTAGCCAGTGGGGTAAAACCGAAGTCCTCTCTGTTTGGCTGGTTTGGTGTGCCTTAGTAGTGAAGGACCCCCAGCCTTGGGCTGTGACTTCCCTGCTCTAAGCAATTTGTCCTGAATTGATACTCTCAGTAGTGTCCCGCCAGAGACTGCTTTGTTACACTATCTCCAGCTCATTTTCTTGCAAATATTCTCAATACTTGGTACCAGGGTCAAAACTTAACTGCTGAAGAAGAGGAGTTGGCTATGACATGGACATCCAGCAATCATCCCTACATAATGCCAACTATAATAAACTTCAGAGTAAGGGTGAACCATTCAAGAAATATGTTTGCTGATGATGTTTTAAAGAAAGTCACACCAGTGAACTGGTGGAAGTCACTTAAGCACTTGGATTCAGAGTAGGGTGACCAGATGTCCCGATTTTATAGGGACAGTCCCGATATTTTGGGCTGTGTCTTATATAGGCGCATATTACCCCCCACCCTCATCCCGATTTTTCACACTTGCTGTCTGGTCATCCTAATTCAGAGTCTGTTGAAGTGATAATCTCACTTTTAACAGCAGTAGCTTCTTCCGATGGTGTAGAAAGAATGTTTTCTTTCTTTGGACTAATTCATTCCAAATTGAGAAACTGTTTGGGACCTGAAAAAGCAGGAAAGCTTGTTTTTCTTTTCCAGATTATGAACAAACAGGAAAATGAAGGTGAAGCGACTGAGTTAGCTGCAGAAGCCAATATTTTAAGTTTCTCATGTTGACCTGGCTGACAGTCAATTTGATTTTAGTTTTTTAAAATATTTCATTTAACTATTTTAAACAATTTTAACAAAAACAAACCTGATTTTAAAAAAACTTGAATGGTTAACTAAACTCAAAAATTCATATGCTTGTTTTGTTAAAATATTATATGTTTGCTGTTGAATAAAAAAAAAATCCAGAATACACAATGTTGTTGTTTTAGTTAAATAAAACAATTTAAATGTCTGTCTGGTGATGTTCTCCTCCTAATACAGCATGGCAAGAAAATCCACCAAATATTAATGATTTACCTGTTGAATTGAAGATATTTATGAAGTCATTGGGAGGTGAACTATCAATTACCTTTGGTAAATGAAATAACCAATCATTCATTTTCCTGATATAGCTGTAAAACTAATCTGAAAAGTTTTCAAAATAAATCACTTAAAAATGTATAGCAGGGGTAGGCAACCTATGGCACGCGTGCCAAAGGCGACACGTGAGCTGATTGATTTTCAGTGGCACTCACGCTGCCCGGGTCCTGGCCACCAGTCCGGAGGGCTCTGCATTTTAATTTGATTTTAAGTGAAGCTTCTTAAACATTTTAAAAACCTTATTTACTTTACATACAACAATAGTTTAGTTATATATTATAGACTTATAGAAAGAGATCTTTTAAAAACGTTAAAATGTATTACTGGCACGCGAAACCTTAAATTAGAGTAAATAAATGAAGACTCGGCACACCACTTTTGAAAGGTTGCTGACCCCGATGTATAGTGTGTACCTTCTAAAAATGAAACCTACATCTCTGAGTTGTGAAGAATATGTATTAAGGTTATAACAACTAACGAGAATGCACTTTTATGTAGAAATCCATGATTAAATCGAATCTTCCTGACTAGTGATTTAAATCAGTTTGATTTAAATCAAATCCACGCTGACAAATACAAAATAAAGTTAATAAATTGTGGAAAAAGAAACAAGACAACACAAAGACAAGACAAGACAAAGAAACAGACAAGACAACACAGTAACTAGTAAATGCCAGGAGAGCACTGAATTCACTGTTAAGAGAAAGTGAAGTGGATACTGAATTACTAAATAGAAACCTTGAGAAAAGCATGAATTTTAGCCTTCTTTCAAAGATGAAATGCGAAGAGACAAGATATGAATCAAATAATGTTGGATAGATATCCAGAGACCCCATATACTTTTCTCAATTTGGTAACGTGCTTCCTCCAGTGCAGGACTACTTTCAAAAAAGAATTCTTCCAAATTATAGAGGAAAGATTTAACTAATGACAAAACCAAAAAGGAATACAGATGCTAAACTATAACAAAATGTACCTGTCCAGACAGATTTTAAAATATTTGTATAGAACCTTTAAAAACAACATTAAAATCTTTCTTAACTGATTGGATTAAGCAGTAGATAAATCAGTAGACCAAACAGGTTTTATTGCTGGCAGACATTTGACAAATAATTTAGGGAAAGATTTTTTTGTACGTTTGATCTCTATAGATATAGAAAGTCTGAACAGATATCAATATGCAATTTTACTAGTATTTTCCTTGACTTCTGTTTAAATCCCCTTTGTAATTTAGCACCAAAAAGGGCTCTGAATTGAAAAGTCATTTGACACTAAAGAAAGCAAATGAGGCCTAGCTACCTAAAAAAAAATACATGTAGAAGTGAGAATCTGGATTCAAGAAGAGTAGATTGATCAAAAGGCAACACTAAAATTTGTTACTATGCAACATGTAAGGAATCTGATTCACATGTGCAAAAGCAATATAAAGAGTAAAGAACAACACCTTGCACACCTCAACTCAAAGCTAGGAAGCACTGCAATCTAATGTTAAGTTATTTGAATTAAAAGGTTTCATTTGAGTACACTCACAAACTCAAAAGCAGATCTTTTTCCAATTTATTAACCAAAAGCACAATTCAATACAATGAATAATCTAAGTTCAGGAGAGTTCAAGGATGGGAAAGGTGGAAAGCAAAGGTGTTGCATGTCAGAAGTGAGCTGCATTTATTCACAAATCTGTGGGAAGAAGTTTAGTCCAGAAAGGAGCCAACCCCAATAAGGCTAGAGACTGGACAACCAGTCTCTCACAAGCACAAATACTTTTGTTGTTTGGAACATTTAATTCCCCCCCCCCCCCCCCCAGCATATCAATGGATATAAAGCAAAATCTATTAGTTAATGTCATTTCCAAACTCTTAAACTGAAGAACCAGACAAACCTGGTCAAACAGAAAGTTGTCTAATCCCCAGCATATGACACATACCTATGTCAATTCCTCTTCTAAGAGCTTGTTTATCACCATCTTGATGACCAATTAGATCTTCCACCCAATGGATATAGTTAAGCCTCAAGGGAACAGTAGGAATGAGCCTCTCTAATGGTATATCAATTGTAAGTCCAAAGTCTTCTTTCAAGAGAGTGCATGTCAGAGCTCTCACAGCTTCTGGATCCTTGAAATTTAGGCTGCAAGGCATAAAATGCAATTAACAGAAAGAATCCTTGCAGTATAGTTGGCACCAAGCACCATTATTTAGTTTTATGCATTACTGTAACAAGTGTATTGTCAGCATTAATTAAAACTATTGTGAGGAGAAAATCATAAGCCACATATTCAAAACAAGAAATATCTCCTTAAAATTGGATGGTTCTGAAGAAAACTTGTTTCTACACATAAAAACAAAATCCATCAAAAATCATTCAGTTTCAGCAACAAAACTCAAGCTGACTACATAAGACTGTTTAGGCAGTATTCCTTGGAGTCTGAGAAAGAAAAAGCCTTAAGTGCTGGTTCTGGGACAAACCCAACCCCCAAAACACACGTCCTTCTCTGTACCATCTACTGGCTCTACCACAATCATTAGATTATGACAGAATTTATTTCCTCAGTTTGTATTTTAAAAAAGTAAACATCTACATAAGGAAAATGTTGCAGTTGCAAAGGCAAGCACTCAAAATAGGGACACACCAGTACAACCGGAGCTCGGTCCCTAGCGCAGGGGTATTTTGATTGAGTCTAATCACATATTGTTTTCCCCACAGGATCCCCGGCTCATTCCGTGCAAAGTATGGACGGTGTTGTGGGGATGACTAGTGGTTGTGTAGCAAGGGAGGCTAAGCCCATGTCTACACTTCAGAGCCACAGCTGTAGCACATGCCCTTCTCGGTACAGCAACCCCACCTGTCAGAGCTACACCGACGTACGCACTTTTCTGTGGCTCGGGAAGGGGTCGGGGGTGTTTCCCAGCGATGCTGGCTAGACGGCGGAAAGGGTTGTTGCCGGGACAGCGGCGCTGGAGGCGAAGATTGGAGGGGGGCGCGCCTGGCACGGTGATGCCGGCCCACAGGCCGCTGGCGCACGGCGATGGCCGGAGGGGGAATTGGGCTCGCCCGCAGTGGCACAGACCCAGGCCTCCCCCATGTGTCCGCGCCGCCGCTCAGCTGCCGCCGCGGCGCTCTGTACAACGGCGGCGGAAAATCCCAGTCCCCTGCCGGCCGCGCCCGCCGAGACCCGTCAGAGCTCCCCGCGCCCCTCCCCCGGTGCCGGGGACCCACCTGGCCCGGCCGGAGAGGCTGGTCTGCACGTGCTGGCGGAAGGCCGGGTACCTGGACGCCAGGTAAGCGAAGTCCGGCGGTTTATCCCGATAGCGGTTTCTCGCGTGCATAGACTTGTTCAGCGCCATGGCGGGAGAGGGGGCGGGGCGGCGACTCGGGGCGGGGCGTCACGCGCGCAAACCGGGCTGCGGCTCTGCAGCCGCTCGGAACCAGTCACGCGCGCGCTGCGAGGGGAGCGAGCTTCCTCCCCGGACGGGCCTCTCTAACTGCACATGCGCCCCCTCCCACCCTGCACTACGGGCAGCCCGCGCAGCCCATTGGCTGGGAGCCATTAGCCGCGTCTCCGAATCCCTCCCTCCTCCCAGGTCGCAGCTTCGCCCCCTGGGGCCGGCTCCTGCTGGGAGCGCGCGGGAGACTCCGGGCAGATGGGCGGGACGCGCGACTGTAGCTGGGGGCGGAGCGGTCACCGCCTCCCTCTGCCCTGCGCCCCATGGAAGGCGGCACCCGCGCGGGGAAGGGCGGAGTCTGAGGCGCCTCCCCGCGGAGGGGGGCGCACGCACGTAGCAGCTGCGGGGGCTTTGGGAGGGAGTAAAACGGCCCCCTCCTGGAGCCCCAATTTCCGGCAGCCGCCGGGCCCAGACTGACTCCGCCGCTGCTCTCCTTGCTAGAGGCGTCAGTTTAGCTCCCCCCGCCCCGCTCCCTCGCTCTCCTTTCTGCCCCGCCCGCACATTGCCCCACAGGCTTCAGAGTCTGATCATCAGGCGCTTCTTAGGCAGAGGGGGCTGTGGCGTCGCGCAGAGCAGGCTCAGGCTCGTCCCAAGGCAGACCACAGTGATTAGAGCTAGGGCTCCTACACCCTGCTCTCCTCCTGAGAACCCGCTCTGCTCGGCTTTGAAACTGTCCCCACGAGGGGGAGGAGGGCGGCAGGATGGTAATTTTAACCTGTAAAGATGGTTTGTAGGATTCTTACTGGCTCTGTTGTTTCCCTTCACACTTGCAAACCACGTGTGTCTAAAAGAATGACAGATTGGGGGTTTCTCTACGATGCCTGGTGAGATTCCAGATTGTTTTAAGAACAGGAGTACTTGTGGCACCTTAGAGACTAACAAATTTATTAGAGCATAAGCTTTCGTGGGCTACAACCCACTTCTTCGGATGCATATAGAGTGAAACATATATTGGGGAGATATATATACACACATACAGACAGCATGAACAGGTGGGAGTTGTCTTACCAACTCTGAGAGGCCAATTAAGTAAGAGAAAAAAAACTTTTGAAGTGATAATCAAGATAGCTCAGTACAGACAGTTTGATAAGAAGCAAGTGTGAAAATACTTACAAGGGGAGATAGATTCAATGTTTGTAATGGCTCAGCCATTCCCGGTCCTTATTTAATCCTGAGTTGATTGTGTCTAGTTTGCATATCAATTCCAGCTCAGCAGTCTCTCGTTGGAGTCTGTTTTTGAAGTTTTTCTGTTTTAAGATCGCCACCCGCAGGTCTGTCATAGAATGGCCAGACAGGTTAAAGTGTTCTCCCACTGGTTTTTGAGTATTATGATTCCTGATGTCAGATTTGTGTCCATTAATTCTTTTGCGTAGAGACTGTCCGGTTTGACCAATGTACATGGCAGAGGGGCATTGCTGGCACATGATGGCATATATCACATTGGTAGATGTGCAGGTGAACGAGCCCCTGATGGTATGGTTGATGTGATTAGGCCCTATGATGATGTGACTTGAATAGATATGTGGACAGAGTTGGCATCGGGCTTTGTTACAAGGATAGGTTCCTGGGTCAGTGTTTTTGTTCAGTGATGTGTGGTTGCTGGTGAGTATTTGCTTTAGGTTGGGGGGGTTGTCTGTAAGCGAAGACAGGTCTGTCTCCCAAAATCTGTGAGAGTAAAGGATCATCTTTCAGGATAGGTTGTAGATCTCTGATGATGCGCTGGAGAGGTTTTAGTTGGGGGCTGAAGGTGACAGCTAGTGGTGTTCTGTTATTTTCTTTGTTGGCCCTGTCTTGTAGGAGGTGACTTCTGGGTACTCGTCTGGCTCTGTCAATCTATTTTTTTACTTCAGCAGGTGGGTATTGTAGTTTTAAGAATGCTTGATAGAGATCTTGTAGGTGCTTGTCTCTATCTGAGGGATTGGAGCAAATGCGGTTATATCTTAGAGCTTGGCTGTAGACAATGGATCGTGTGGTGTGTCCTGGATGGAAGCTGGAGGCATGTAGGTAAGTGTAGCGGTCAGTAGGTTTCCGGTATAGGGTGGTATTTATGTGACCATCGCTTATTAGCACAGTAGTGTCCAGGAAATGGACCGCTTGTGTGGATTGATCTAGGCTGAGGTTGATGGTGGGATGGAAATTATTGAAATCATGGTGGAATTCCTCAAGGGCTTCTTTTCCATGGGTCCAGATGATGAAGATGTCATCAATGTAGCGCAAGTAGAGTAGGGGCGTTAGGGGACAAGAGCTAAGGAAGCGTTGTTCTAAGTCAGCCATAAAAATGTTGGCATACTGTGGGGCCATGCGGGTACCCATAGCAGTGCCGCTGACTTGAAGATATATATTGTCCCCAAATGTGAAATAGTTGTGGGTGAGGACAAAGTCACAGAGTTCAGCCACCAGGTTAGCTGTGACATTATCGGGGATACTGTTCCTGATAGCTTGTAGTCCATCTTTGTGTGGAATATTGGTGTAGAGGGCTTCTACGTCCATAGTGGCCAGGATGGTGTTTTCACACTTGCTTCTTATCAAACTGTCTGTACTGAGCTATCTTGATTATCACTTCAAAAGTTTTTTTTCTCTTACTTAATTGGCCTCTCAGAGTTGGTAAGACAACTCCCACCTGTTCATGCTGTCTGTATGTGTGTATATATATCTCCCCAATATATGTTTCACTCTATATGCATCCGAAGAAGTGGGTTGTAGCCCACGAAAGCTTATGCTCTAATAAATTTGTTAGTCTCTAAGGTGCCACAAGTACTCCTGTTCTTTTTGCGGATACAGACTAACACGGCTGCTACTCTGAAACCTGTCAGATTGTTTTAGTAGCTAGCTGAGCATATTGCTCTTAAGCTGAGAGGAGATGGAATCAGCCTGTGCGATAATTGGATATTTGTGCTGCTTTGGCATTATCATAAGGGCCATCACGGCTGTTACCACCGCCATCACATGCTGAGACCTAGTGGCTTACAATTTTATCACCAGTTATATCTATCTCACACTTACCTTGTATCGCAAAGTCCTCTAGGGCAGGGGTTCTTAACCTTTTTCTTGCTGAGGCCCCCCTCAACATGCTATAAAAACTTCAGGGCCCAGCAGGGGCTGGGGGGGACCCTTGGGCATAGGCATAGTTTTACTTCTATTTATGGGGACCTCACAGGGTCCAGGGACGGAGTGTCACCTCCACCTCCTGACTCACTCAGGAGGCAACCCAGCCTGTCTGGGCTATGGGGGACGCAACCAAAAAATATTATTTAAAGGAGGGACTCAGTTCAAAAAGTTTGAAAACCACTCAGGGTGCAGGGGATAGCTAGGGGCTGTGTGCGGGCAGGGGGGTAGTTCAGGGTGCAGGCAGGGGGTAGCTAGGTACTACATATGGGGGGCTCCCAGGGTTGCTTCCAGCTTTGGGGGGGGCGATGGGGCTCCCAGCTTCAGTGCCCCCCACTGCTCCTGGCTTGTGGGGGTACACTGGGGCTCCCGGCTTCAGCCCCACACCTCTCCCGGCTTTGGGGGGTGCTGGCATCAGCCCTGTGCTGCTCCTGGCTGATGTGGGGGGGCACCGCCTTTAGCCCTGTGCCGCTCCCGGCTTTGGGGCAGGGGGCCGCCGGCTTTAGCACTGGGGCTAGGGGCCAGCCACGGGGCTCTGCAGACCCCATGAAAGGGCTCGCGGACCCCTGGTTGAGAACCGCTGCTCTAGGGACATGGCTGTTGAATTTTTCATGGAAGGCACTGAGATACAGTGATGGGCACCACTATAAAACTCTAAGATAGAACCCATTGTTGAAGTGAGCATCTGTCCACCTTAGATTGTAAGCTTTTTGGGGCAAGGACCACTTTTTGTGGTGCTAGGCACTGTGAACATACCATGGGACCCCAATCCTGAGTTTGGCTGCTAGACACTACCACGGTGCAAAAAATAACCACTACCACTACTAAACCTTCTTGTTCCTGATCCTGGGGTGAGGGAAGTAGATAGTATCAACTATGTGATGAGTATGAACAGAGTGAATTTAAACATGGGGTTAAATACGAAACAATTACAAATAATTAAGAGACAGAAGAAACACATAGTATTGCATACTCTTCCTTCTCTTTTGTCAATTTAGAGCAATGGCCTTATTTTTTATTTGTATTCCAGTAACACCTAGAGGCCAACCAGGCCAGGGCCCGATTGTGCTAAAGTGCTGAAAGCAGAGATGGCAAGTGACAATGCCTGTCCCAAAAAGTTTATAAATCTAAAGAGACAAGACACAACAGGTGGATGACACAAGTGGGCAAGGGTAGAATGAAATAAAACAAACAAAAGGATAGGCACAATTCTTAGCCAATGAAAAGGGGGGATAGCTCAGTGGTTTGAGCACTGGCCTCCTAAACCCAGGGTTGTGAGTTCAATCCTTGAGGGGGCCACTTAGGGATCTGGGGCAAAAATCAGTACTTGGTCCTGCTAGTGAAGGCAGGGGGCTGGACTCGATGACCTTTCAAGGTCCCTTCCAGTTCTTTGAGATAGGTATATCTCCATATATATATATATATTAGGAAAAAAGTAGTGATCGCCATTTGTCCAGCCATTATCTGTTTGTACTTTCCTGCAAACATTACAGAAGAGGTGAGTTCTGATGAGATGAATTCTGACTGAGCACATTTCCCACTTCCCACAGAAGTGCTTATCAGAGTAGAGAACTGAGTTTTGGGGGCTGGCATCACTGGTAGAGGTAAGACAGACATGAACCTTACTGTAAGATATAAGGTCGGATAGGTAGGGCAGAGTTAGATTGTGAAGGGCTTTGAGAGTACAGACAAGAAGTTTGAGTCTGAGGCCTGGTCTACACTACGGGATTAATTCGGATTTAGCAGCGTTAATTCGAATTAACCCTTCACCCGTCCACACAACGGAGCCATTTAGTTCGAATTAAAAGGCGCTTTAAATCGATTTCTGTACTCCACCTCGACGAGCGGAGTAGCGCCAAAATCGATTTTGTTAATTCGAATTAGGGTTAGTGTGGCCACAAATCGATGGTATTGGCCTCCGGGAGCTATCCCACAGTGCA